AGTGTTTACTTGGGCTTTTTAGTTGGGCTTTTTTTAGTTGGGCTTCTTAGTTATGTAAAATAGAACCTGAGTGACTGTTAGCGATAGAACGTGAGTGACTGACTGTTAGCGATAGAACGTGAGTGACTGACTGTTAGCGAGTAGCGAGTAGCGAAGCGACCTAATCGATAGAACTTAGAAGCCGACAGCAGTAGTCGATACTCGATAGTCAATACCAGCGGTCCAGCAGCAGCAGTAGTCTATTTGGGGAGTATTAGTTGGTCACTTGGTTGGTCATTTAGTTTAGGGATTAAGACTATTAGACATTTACTTGTGTAATTGTGTTCTTCATGGTAGTAGTTTGTATGTTATGTCCTTCTGTTATTCTGATTCACGAACTTTTTAAGATTCTAATGCCACTTTTTTAACTACTTTATGTTATAAATGAAGTATTTTGATAGGTAAGTATTTTTAAGGTAGAAATTGATATGTAGAATTAATTTATAAATATTTTTTGAAYACCGGGCGCATCACGTGCGTGATGCGAGCGCAACAGCATCACGCATCACGCATCGGCTTCCGGGACCCTTAACGCATCGGACCGCATCGCGCTTTTTAAAACCAAGGTTTGATGTATATTTCAAAAAGATGTACATAAATTAAAAAATTCGGGATGGCAGTGTGGGATGTGTGGATCATGAACCGAAGCACTTCGATTAAGTTTTTTAAGATTCTTTTTTATTTATGACATTGTTTTTACTGGAGAGTAATATTTCCCCTCACATTACCTGCTGAATTCGTGGTTAATAATTGTAGGGATACGGTCGAAGTTGCATCCTCCAGAACCCCCCAATTTGGAAGGACCCTTGTTACGTAGCCTTCATATAGAAACGAGTTTTTTTTATGAAAAAGCTTAGAGATAGACCTGCAATGTAGAAGTAATAAGCCTATGAACCCTATGTTGTAGGAGTGTCCCCCTTGATGTACTCCAAAATCTAGTTTTCTTTTGGGGGGGATTGAGGGGTGATCCCAAGGGGTATTATGAGGTGCGTCTTTGACCAAGAATACAGGAAAACCCAAACCCAAATGGGAATTTAGGAGGCAAGATATTTGACTATTTGTGTGACATATATGGACAAGAGGCAAGTGTTAGGCCTAAGCTGGTAATTGTTTATTATCAGTGCAAGTTTAGAATCAAGTGAGGGAGGTCAATTTTGGTATTTCTATAATTAATGTATAAGTAGGGTGGTTGGGAAGAGAGAATGCCATGCTTATTTGATCAGAGTATCAGACATATAATTAGTTAAGTAAGCATCATGGAGAGTTTGCCTATCTCGTGAAGATAGGCGGTATCACAGAGAGTTGACCCATCTCTTGAATATAGCCCATTTACTTGCTTATGAGCTGCTATTCCACTAGGGCTTATGAGCTCTTGAAGTCTAAATGCAAATAATAACCATTGGCTAGTTGGTTCTGAACTTCTGGTGGGTTGCTATCCTGATTGTAAATTGTAGCAAAGGTGTAGAATCATGATTTTACTTGAATCAAAGCTTAGATGAATCTATATATGTGGGTGATATAAGTGCTATTGTATGGTTATGATATGCTATTGACTTTATAGTTGGCCAGGCTTGTTATGCTGTTCTGCAAAGTTGGGTTTCAAAGAAATTCATGACTGGATGGTATGTTTCAACCCTTATCTGTATTATTATTATTGTTAATTCTGTTGTTACTATTATGTGTCCTCTGACTTCTATTTAATTTGGAATATTTATAGTGTTGTTCTCTTTCCTGTGGCCGTTACATTCTTTATCACATGGTGGATTGTACAGTTTTTTGATGGTTTCTTCAGTCCTATCTATGAAAGACTTGGTGTCGAAATATTTGGTGAGTTATCTATGTCATGTTGTTAGTTTGTAGTTTCTCCAACTGAAGCACCTTATGAAGTTTGGTTCATATTGGTGAAGAATGTGACCCATCGAATTTCAAATACTTCAATTCTATCTAAGATTGTTTTGCTACATGATTATAGAGCTTGTTGTATACTGATAAAGAAACTACTACTATTAGTTTTCAAATAGAAGATTTTCTTATTCAATCTTGATTCATTCTTAAAATAAAGTATAAGATTCTATTGATAATCACAGTTAGTTCACTTTCTAGTGCTGCTCTGATCACCCAAAACCAAACCAAACAAATCCACAAGTCCCTAGACTATAGAAGGGGGAAGGTAGCAGGTCTGTTGGTAAGCCCTTGAAGTCGAGCTAGGCATAACACTTTATCCACTCTTAGGCAAGTGTTCACCTCCCCAAGGTATTTACTGGATTTTATGGGCTTTCTTTTTTGCTGCATTAAGCAAGCCAGAACGAAGTTCTTATCCGTGGATTGAAGTTCTTCCTGGCAATAAAACAACTCTTTTACGGATTTGCGGAAAGTGATAGAGAAAGTAACCCAAAGGTCTTAGTTCTTTATGCTTTCGTGTATATTTTACTGGGGTCATTTTCTGTTTTGGACTGGGAAGTGCTGAAGAAGGAGAGAGCAGGCAGCAGTGGTGAAGCCGGATGCTCGAAGCAGTTTTATTTTTTGTACGACAAGACAACTGAGGAGTAGAAAGTTGTCACAACCTAGGAGGGGTTTATATTATAGAAGCCAAAAACGGAGGTGGGGTTGGGGGGGACCTGGGGAGGTTGGGATGCGCACCTACGTGACCCCTACCTTGAAGCGTAGAGCGGCTTTTTCCGTGAAGACCCACGGGTTGTGCAAAGTGTGCGAAGACATAGGGTACAACATGCTAAAAAATATGCGGAGAAAGAACATAAGAAGAACTTTAAAATACGAATGGCAGTGCTAAAAATTGGAAAAAAGTTGGAACTAAGTAACAACAACCAAAACAGACTGACAAACAGCAAACAACAAACAAAACATACAGACAAAAGCAGGTACAAGAAAGCATAACCAAGGTAGGAATAAATACACACCCTAGTCTACCCTAGGACTCGGAAGATCTTATTTCTAGCTCCCTGATCCTACTTCCACCGTCTATCTCTTCAGAAGCCTTCCTTCCGTCTATGGTAGCTACAAATTCTCACCCTTCCTCCCATCTTGCTGCTCCCATCACCTATGTAAGCGATCTTTTATTCATTAATCAGATTTAGGAATTAATCTGACTATAAAAGAACTTTTGCCTCTCAAGATCATTGTAGATGCTAATCCTAGAGGCCTATACAAAATTTACCATGGCTTAATGGTAATGAACATAATCTGGGTGATGACGCATCAATAGAATTTTTTTTGCTTTGAGATGGCATAGGTGGCTTTATAAACGTTTGGAATTCTACATGGAGATTATATTTTAGGCAAGTCAAGAGCAGGAGCCATTCTACTGTGGTGACTTGCTCATAGTTTCTTTTTGCAGTTTGTTTTAGATTTTCGTCATATTTTTTGTTTAAAAAGTCATCTTAGTCTTGCTTGTCAATTTGGGAATAATTGATATCATCCTCCAACTTTAGCAGTAATTTATGAGATAGAATTAGGTTACATTAATCGGATAAAGTTTACTGCATTTGAAACTTGCTTTTTATGATCTGTCATTCACATGTGCCTTCTTCTGGTCCTGATGTTCAATTAATTGGATAAAGCTTTAGTTTGGTAATTAGACAAGTTAGGTATTACCTATTTTCATTTATGTCTAATGTTTTGACTTCTTTTAACTTCTTTCTTTTACAATTGTGCAGGTCTTGGATTCCTTACGTCATTAATCTTCATATTCTTTGTTGGCATTTTTGCTTCATCATGGATGGGTGCTACTGTCTTCTGGGTAGGGGAGTGGTTTATAAAGCGAATGCCCTTTGTAAAACACATATACTCTGCATCGAAACAGATTAGCGCTGCTATTTCTCCAGGTAATCTATGCCACATTCATTTGCAGTTTTTCATAACCAGGATTGGTAGAGGTTATATAAATGATTAATATCAGAAACTTTCTGCTGTTCTAATTTGGATTAGGATTTTAGAGGCAAATTGTTAAATATGATTGTTTTTACTTGTTGATCAAACTCATTTCATATATAAAATAAATGGCAAAGATTTAAGGAACTTCTTTGCAAGGGATTCCATTTCCTTTATCAGAAACAAAGATTTAAGAAACTAAAACAATCCCTATTAATCAACTTTATGAAGTTGTTTTCTTTCAAATTTTAGAAATTGCAACATAAGGCAAAAAAATCGAGCATACAACTGATCGAAGTATCAACTTAAGATCTTGTAATTCGAATCTCAACATTATCAAGAAGAATTTGGTAATTTGAGCGGAAGACCGTGTCAAATGACAAATGATTCTCAAAGTATTATGTGCTTATCTAACAGTGTGGTCCAAATTTCATTACCAACTCATCACCATAGCAATCACTATCTTAAGCTTCTCAATAATGGATAGATCGAGCTGATCAAACTAGGTTTCGATTTGATTGGCCCATATCAGATATTGCTGGAGTTTTGGAAGGAGAACAATTTTGATCATTTATGATCCTTCTGTTTCACCATGATGTGTGCTCTAAGGATCATTGAAGATGCAATATCCATAAATCGGTAGAAAATGGACTTGCGTAAAAAAAATTAACAAAAATATTTCTTGTTTTAATTATAAATATTAACAATAATGAGATTTCTTTGTGTCTGGCAGAACAATTTTGAACTAAACTCAAAGTTATAGTTTTGGTCAGTTAAACCATTCTCAGCCGTTGAGTTTGTTTAAAAAAAATTAGCAACTGGAATTACTTACAAAGATATGTAGTTATTCAATTCAATGCTTAACTAATTAGAGGATATATGAATGTATGAACATCCTTAGTTGTTACCAATTTTCTGTCATCAGCAGCATTATGCATGCTTATTATACATCTTATAAGATACCTGGGGCCTAGACATGCCATTTTAGCAAGCATTCTTCCAGGGTTATGTAGACAATGACCTCCTGCCAAGTGCTTTTAAAATCCACGACCTTCTGACAGGTTTCTAAGCATTCTTTTGTATGGAAGGGATATTCTTTTTTTAAGCAGTGACATTCTTATACCTGTCAGAAGATCATTTAACCAAAGGACCCATTCTTCTACTGGCCTTGTGCCTTTGTTTTGATTGAGTGGTATTGGCTTAAGAAGCTACTTTTATGGGTTCCAAGTTCTTTATTTTTCTATGCTATTTATCAAGTTTTACATCATGGAGTTTATATATTTTATTGCTACTTGATTAAGTTCTTAATCAAATATCATTGTTATTGGAACTAGAAGTAAAAACCCTTTCTTTCGTGACAGATCAGAACACCACTGCGTTTAAGGAGGTTGCCATCATCCGCCATCCTCGTCTGGGGGAATATGCTTTTGGTTTCATTACGTCATCAGTTGTTCTTCAGGTACATCATCTTTAGTGTTTACAATTTTAAAACTGACAAACATTATAGGTTCATAAGAAAAATTAGTTGGAAAAATATTCAGTTAAAAGCAAAAACTTAAATCAGTTCTAACATGAAAAGTTAGTCATTTGACTGTAAAATGTCAAATATAGTCTTCTTTTGTTGTGAATGGGAGTAAGTTTGACTCTTTTCTGTCACCTTTTATGGTTTGACCTTTTCTTAGAATACCATTATGAATCAAATTATAAAGGAAACTTGTTTTCGGCTATGAGAAAAGGTTTTAAGGTACAGTTGTGTGGCTAAAAATTGTCTAGCAGATGCTCAGAAGGAAAAGACGATGAAAATGTACTAAATAAATGAGTTCCATATGAATATAGCCAAGTTCATAGAGAAGTTGTCCGAGTGGACTATGTTATAATGGCTTAGAACTCGGTTGCAATGGCATTAGGTCTTTTTTAACACTTTCGTGTGGCCGTGTTAGTACTTTTAGAAGACATGAGTTGGATAGGAATCTGGGAGACAGCGGATTAGCATAGTACGTTTTAATGGTAGGAAAAATCTAGGTTTTCTGTAGTTGAGAGAGGGTAGATGGTGGGATAGAAAGAGTCAGATAGGAAAATATAAGGTTTTCTGTTTTGTTTGTTTTTCTTCTCATCACCCTGCAATCTTTTTCAAAACTATTTAAGAAAATATAAGGTCCCGTTTGGTTTGAAGGGATGGAATGGATTTGAAATCCTTGGATTTAATCGAAATTCTTCAAATATAGGATTTTGAAATCCTTAGGGAGTGCTCGGGATTTCACGGGATTTTGTAGGATTGTATGCAATAAGTTTTATAAAATGTTAAAAACATTTATTTTGTAATAATCGATTAATAGAAATGTAATTCAATTATTTTTATAAATATTTATAAATTTTTCTATAAATTATTTATAAATAATGAAATCCAATTCCATTTCAAATCCTACAAACCAAACACACCAATGATTTCAAATCCATTCCAATCCAAATCCCTCAAAAACAATCCTTCAAACCAAACGGGCCCTAAGTATTCCTACTCCTTCTTGCAATCTTCTTGGAAACAATCTCTCCACCTTTTGAGATGGAGGTTTGGTCTGCATACACCCCTACGCCTTCTGAACCTTACTTTCTGCATGGATTTGACAAAGTTTGTTTCGTATATGGCATGGTGTGTGAAACAATAAAGATGTGATTGTGGGTCGTATCGTTAACTTTTTTTTTCCCGGTTAGCTTTGATATCCAACCTGCTATGTGAGCCGACTAATCTCAGTGCGACCACCTGCTTTGCGGGTAACCGGAGTCACCACGTTTGAACCTCCATGACCACAAGGAGATTTTTATTCCTCCTTAGATTTGAACCTGGGACCTCCAGGTACTTTTGACCTTTGGAGCCTAAGCTCAAACCAATCTAGCACCACCCTTGTGGTTTCGTATTGTTAACTTTAACTTGGAAATTAATGAATGTTATGTTATTGGGATAAGAAACGGATTACTACATACAACAATATACTGAGTATTATTAAAAATATATTGGCTGGCAATAAGTCTTCACAGAGACGGCCACTCCTCTCCTAGACCCAACTTCCAAGTGAGATTAAGTGGGTTGGGTTTGGTTTGGATTTCGTTTATTGGCATAAAAGCAGAAAATTGATTTTGAAATATACGGTTTGAATTGCAGAGAGAAAATGGAGATGAAGAGTTATGTAGTGTTTATGTCCCTACAAACCATCTCTACATCGGTGATGTATTTCTGGTCAACTCTGAAGAGATCATAAGGCCAAATTTGTCTATACGAGAAGGCATTGGTATGATCTTCACCTTCCTTAAAATTTACATACTTTAAAGTATAATATACAGTTAGGAATGTAGATGGTACGAGACAACTCGCAAGCTACTCGAGATCGACTCGGTCAAAGCTCGACTCGAATAGGCTCGGCTCGAACTCGACTCGACATATTAACGAGTCGAGTCAAGCTACTCAATACTCGATTCGAAGAGCTCGTGAGATACTCGATTATTTTATATATAATTAGTTTTAAAATATAATCAGTTTTTATAATAAAATTTGTAAAATATAAATAATAAAAATGTCTTATATTTAAACAAAATTATGCATTTTTTAATTATAAAAATTAATTAATTGTTTTTATTAAAATCACAATTAGAAAAAGACAGAAAAACTATACAAAAAGTTAGTGAAATTGTCTCACATTGGAAGAGAGATTGTAAAGAAATAGAGAAAATATGTTATAAAAAAAGATGGAGGGGAATGAAATTTTTAACTTTGTCTGTTTGATGATGAAGTTTAAAGTTGATCCTTTTAGTTCTATAAAAACTAAGAGAACACCTTTAGTTTTAAAATTTATAAGAGAAAAACCCTAAAATTTCATAAATTTCAATGGGTGAGCTTGGTTCGAGCTTGATTTGAGTTCGAGCTCGAGCTTGTTTCGAGCTTGAGAAATAGTTATTGAGTTTGAGTCGAGCTTTGATTTTACTACTTGCGAGTTTTCAAGTCGAGTTCGAGCTTGAAAATTGGGTTTCGAGTTCAAGTCGAGTGTAGTGATACTCGAGCTCGACTCGCATCATTTACACCCCTATATACAGCAAATGAACTCACACACCCTTCTCACATTTGGGAAAGATTTTAAATATCATTATTATTTCAGAGATTATTGTTTCGGTGGGTATGTCGATGCCGCAATCAATATCTCCTATAGAGAGGGTTTCACGTGCAAACGAAAGGGTTCCGCTCAACAGAATAATGTAGAAGCTGAAGCCGGTGGCGTCTTCTATGAATCCATATTTTCTGCAGGTTCTTTTGTAATGAAAGGTTTGTATTCTTGTATTCGTTTTGGAAATTCATACGTGTGTGTTTAGTTGGAGCAGTGTATTTAGTAGCGGCCACAATACTTTGTTTTTCCTTCTGTAAAAAGTTGAAAAATCCAAAATTTATGTTGTCTGCTTGTATTACATTACATCTCTACAACCCCAAGATATGCCTTTGGTTTACTTTTTCTTCTTAAAAGAGATCCAAGGGTATGTTTGGTATTTAGGACGGTACAAAACTTTGCTTTGTCATATGTTAGAGTGGAGCAAGACAAAACCTGGTGCGACAGAAATGCATTTTTTTTTGTCCCAGCAAAAACATGTGGACAAAAATGAGGAAGATTGACAAATTACTAAACTACTAATGTCAGATAACACTCTAAAACTTGCACAATTGTTTCCCTTGCCTACATCACACTCACTTGTGTAGCTGGGTCAGGTTATATAAGGGTGCATTTGGTATTTAGACAGGACAGGAAAGAACAGAACAGATTATAGAAGCATCACAAGCAAATGCAAGCAATATACACAAACGGTGACTTATAAATGAAACTAAACCGAACGAACTCCCAAAGGTGGGGTTTAGGAGGTGGGATGTGCATCGATCTATCCTCTATTTGAATGTTGATAACTTATATATATGCATACGTAATACATACATCCTTGCAATCATTCATATTCATATGTGAAGATGAAGAAACTATCGCTGCCTTTGTTTTCTTTGAGCAGTAGGAGGCAGTTTCTCAGAAGGGCCAGTGGGAAGTTTCTCCCCACTTTCTTTTTCAATTTTAGCTTTCAATTGTCTAAGGATTTTGATCTGACTCAGCTTCTCAGGTGACAGTTTTTCCCAGTAAATACCTAACAAAAATTCACCAACAGTCATTGGCCCATCAGGGACTAACCTTGAAATGAAAATGTTAAAGAAACTAACCTTGAGGTTTCGGGATGGATGTGTTGGTGAAAATAACTCGGGTCGGAGTGCATATGATGTCAACAGGGACATCATGGATTAGGAGCTTCTCAACTGGGATATCGTCTACTAGTTGTTCATCGTGCACTGAAGAAACAAGAAGCAACGGTACATTTTCTTTTGAAACTTATGATGATAATTCGAGCCAAAGAATTCTTACCAGATGTAACGATTGGTGTTGAGTCGTCAATTGCTCCCATGTAACGCAGCATTCCGTATTCAAGTTCTGCAAATCCCTGCATCAATCCACTTTCAACCCATCAAATTTAACCAACCAACGAGTATTCAAATAAATAATAAACCAGACGAACCCAATAAATGTCATACAGAGAGGGTAGGATGTAAGGTGATCTTTCCTCTGCCCTATGAGGCTGTATAATTTTCCCCATTAGTAAGCATTAGAAGACTTCTATTGGAACCGGAAATGAAAGTTCTGCGGTTCTCATAGGACACAGGGACTGTTCAAAACGAAACTAGCCCAGTATATTCCATCCGAAGGTGAGGTCTAGGGGTATGATGTAATTGTAAGCAGACGTGACCTCTATCCAACAAGAACTATTGAACGAATATCCAAATACTTCTTTGAACTACATTGACTCCCATTTGTTTTGGAACATATATACCTCACCCTTGCCAAGTCGAGCTCCAGTTTTCGGATCAACGGCAACCGAGCCAACGACAATAAGGTCCACCTTGATCTTCTCATGTAATCCAATGGGCCTTCCATATTTCGCAACCCCAACGGAAGTGCATGCCTCATTCATGGTACTAGGGGTTAATGAATTTGATTCAAGTATAGAAAAAAATCCGGTCCTTAACCGAGGCTGGGGAGTAAGTAGCTGCTTCCCACCTTCGCAAAGAGAAGTATTCTTATAAAGATTGTGCATTTTAATACATAACCACATGTGAAAGCTACAAGAACCCAAAATTACAGGCCTAAAAATGGGAAATTTGCTAAAAGTAGGATTCAAATCCAAGCCCTTTAGAACACAAAATCTTTAAGCTGGCAACTCAACCATCACAAACTGTTGTCACAGATTTAGGCGCCGTTTTTACCTAAATGCTTATCCGGTAAGTGCTTATCGTTAGGAGTCAACAGTATAATTTATTTTACCGGGTAAGATTGTAGTACATCGAAATGGTATGGTATGCTTACCGAGTAAGACTCTCCGTCTTTATCATTGCTCTTACCGGGTAAGATTTTTGACCCTTGCCATGTTCATCCGGTAAGAAAAATTACCTGATAAACACTTACGGGCTAATCGTTTAATAAACTGCCCCTAGATACACAAAACAACAAAGTTTCCCAACCATGAAGTAACGACACAGGCCACCATATACTCCCGTTTAGGTTTTCTTAGGGATATATGGAGCTTGACTTGGTGCAAAAGTGAGCTAAAAATGCTTCTATTTAAAGAAGGTAAGGTAAGGAAACAGATGGATAAAGCTGACCATTGAGTGTCAGGAATCTGACTTGCTTTTGAGGTGTATCAGGATTGACCTTCACACATTTAGCCTTTAGAAACACCTCCAGCATACTCAACTGCCATACAGTACAACACAACACAATTTTAACCCCTAAAATAATTACAATCAACCGAATTCTAGAATGAAACCCTAAACCAAATGCTGAAATCCATCAATTTCAAATGCATTTCAGGTGATATGAGGAGGATTCAACCTTCTTACTTTGTTAGCAGCAATGGAAGCAGAAACGAAATTAGGGATCCGATGATGAACAGGTCGTGGAAACTGAGCAATGTTTCGAGCCTCCATCAAATCCCAAATCCTCTTCCGGATGATCCATTTCCAGGCTTTTGGATCGTTATCGTTTCTGTCTAACTCTTCCGCCATGGATTCTCTTGCTTTAGCATCGAGACGAAGCCTCTCGGCCTCGTAAGCGGATTCGTCAAAACCAACTTCGATTCTGTTGCTCTCCACTTTAAAGGGATTGTAACTTAAGTGTTTAATGGAGAAGGAATTAGATCTGTGGGTGTGATTGACGATGGAGGGAAGATGATTGAGATGCGAAATTCTGAATAATGCAGAGGAGGCATCCATGGTTGAAGGTATCGTTATTCATGGAGGTTGTTGGTGTACATGATAAGAAGTGAATGATCAGATTGCAAGAAATTTTTAAATTTTGTAAAAAATACATTTTTTTGTTCTTAATTTCAAAATGAAGAAAATAACGACTTTTCGAGTTCTCTTTTACTTTACGAAGAAACAAAGTTGTAAATGACATTAGCTACAATAATTATTTATATTTATACTATCTTATAAACCAAATTTATTAAAAGTCTTAAAAACAATTTTTAATTCACAAAATACTATACATTTATGCATAGAGTCTTAAAAACAACTCATAATACATTAAGTACTACTATTGTATGTATTCGATCTTAACATCTCTTAATCTACAATTAAAATAATATATAGTACAAGTTACCAATACACATTATTACATTTTCTTATCATGTTTCCAAGATATTTTTAACACCTTTCACTCATATATTCACCCTCTCATACCTCTATGTCTTCTCTTCATCCCCCAAGGTGAGATTCAAACTTATATTCAATATGAGTTATTAAAAATTCTATCATTCATCTCTTATTCAATTGCTCTAGAACTCTCGGTCTCGTTCTCAATCTCTTGATTCTTTGCTCTTGGTGTAAATCGAACATATTTGTGAAATCGTTTAAATATGTTTGATGTTAAATATATTGGATTTTAAACTGTCATATAATTTTTTTCATCGATAGACTGTAATTGGAACCATAACTCTTATTTATTCAAATTATATTAATATGTAAAGACCAAGTGTAACTTATATCATCGTTAAATCTCTCTAATAAAACCAATGAAACTTCAAAATTATTAAAATTCACGGCTCCCGTCGCATTGCGTGGGTACACAACTAGTATCATATATAATATTATATATATATATATATATATATATATATGAAAAATCTTGTGAGAAGAAAAGTTATAGTGTGGAGTGTAAAAAGAGATCTGAACCCTTTATCACTTTAAATCTTTTGTCACTTTTAAATTTTTAATCTAATGCCCATCCATGAATTGCACTTTAGAAGGGAATTGATTTGTTGCATCTCAGTGCACTTCATTAATGTTGACATTCAATTAGGATTGATCCAAAGGTGGAGATCTCTTTTTACGCTTCTCATTATAACTTCCCTTCTTACCGAAACTCAACCCTATATATATATATATATATATATATATATAGAGAGAGAGAGAGAGAGAGAGAGAGAGGAAAGAGTTCAAACAAAAACATCTTAATTTTACTTGAATGTAAAAACGCATGTTCTCAATAAGTCAATAATATTAAACAATTTAAATTAGGTTATATATTAAAAACTAATAAGTAGGACATTAAAAAGGTAAGAAATATGAAAAACCACGTTACAGAAAATCGCATATTAGGCCATTGCATACACAAGTTTAACATGTCGTCAGACATAAGTTTTGAGCAGCAACGAAAGCAAAGCAAAGCAGGAGGCCAAAAAAAGTCTCGTGTTTTCGAGTTTTTTTAGAAAGAAAAGAGAGGTAAATAAAGCATCTCCAATGCAAGGTTATTATTAGCGAAAAATGAAGCAACTTATAGAACTAGCATTGTGTAGAGTTTTTATAAGAACCTTATCCTCTTTACATTCTTGTATAAGAAGTAAAGAAGCTTGATTCTTACCATGAAGTTTATAAGTGACATTTTCCTAGTTTTTTTATTTATATTATTTTATTGATTCTATAATTATTATTGATGTTCAAAAAATCAATGGAACCCAAAAAAATGAGCTTCTTATAATAACTATCATTGTGGCCATAAGGATATTTTTATTCCTCATTGGATTCGAACCTGGGACCTTCAGACACTTTTGACCTTTGGAGTCCAAGCTCAAACCAATCAGACATCATCCTTGTGGTTAATTACCGCCACTTTTTCATCACACCAACAGCAATAGAAGAACACAATCTACCCTCGGTATCTCGATTAACACCGAGCGACAAAACTAGCGAAAAATGAAAAAGAACGAATTAAGAGGTGTTAATTACGACGAAACAAATGATGAATGCAGTTTCCTATAACAACACGAATGCTGAAAAATAAAGGAAAAACAAACAAAAGCAAAAATGAAATCCCAAAGAAATGGAATATAGACAAACAGACAGACGGACAAACAGACAGAAATGATCACCGGTAGTGACTCCAAACCACATAAACTTTCGCTGCTTACGATCTCATGCAGACTTTAAACTTTCATCCCGACAAAACTAGAAGCTCAAACTACATTAACCTGCACGAGCAACTTCTTTCATTCCCGTTTTCATATTCATCATCTGACCCGCTGTGTTCGCTGCAAAAATGTGCCAAGAAATCAACATCTAAATAAAGGGTCTCAAGAGCGCTGCTCGGAACCTAAGATCAACATAACGTTTGCAACCAACAAAAAATCTAACATGGACACAACAAGATCTTTGGGGCAGATGACAAGTTTGCATACATCCCACCCAAAACCCGACTTTCGAGTAGGATATATTGTGCCACTTTGTTTTGGTTTTACCCAATGCTTCAAGGAGGCAACAAGTGACCCAACAAGTTCCATATGTAGATATAACGAAAGAATCATGTAGTATAGGTCGCTTATTCGGTTCATTTGATTGTTCCTCCCGCATTAGTAGTTTGTTTCATTGCAGTGCACCCTTCGATGCTACTTACCACACTTGTTCCCTATTAGTTTTTGTATTGCAAGCCGGAAGTCTTCACAGAACCCACCTTACATAAGGTCTGCATACATACCTAGTACCCTCTCTAGAAGTAAGGTCTGCATACATCCTACCTAGTACCCTCTCTAGAGGTAAGGTCTGCATACATCCTACCCTCCCCGGATCCTACCAAAAGGTAAGGTATGCCTACATCATACCCTTCCTACAGGTAATGTCTGCATACATCCTACCTTACATCTAGGCGTGTATCGTACCCTCTCTATATCCTACCTTTATGTGGGATATACTGGGTTCATTTAGTTTGGTTGGTTTATCAAGTTTTCAATGTATAGAAGTAAGTTTAGTTCTTAACCTTCGGGAAAACAATTATGTGATTAACCATGACTAGCATGATAATTCTTATATCATTGTGGCACTAATTTGCAGAAAAATGGTACTAAACTTCAAGTTTTAAAACAGAATCATCAAATTCATACCTGGCTTCAAATTCCCGGATCACAAAAAGCTCTCCCCCGGATACATCCGTCCATTGAACTCTTCTTTCGGTATGATCCAAACCATTGGCATCATTTCGGTCTACACGCTCACCCTCATCCTCCTTATCACAAGCATCAGAGACCGAAACACCAGTCGTTGGTCTCTTCAAGCTGCTTCTAAGAGAAGAAGCATTTATGCTATTGATATTGTCATTATCGTCAACAAGATCCGAGGTACGATCATTTTCTTTAACATTTTGCAAATCAGGAGAACTTTTAAGAACATCTTCCTGGTTCTGGTGGTGGGCAGGTCCTACTTTCAAAGGGGATGGAGTCTCTAGTCCAGCGGCGGTGCGACCAAAACAGAGAAATGATGCGCACCCGCGGACCAAATGGTTCTTATGGGAAGCCAGCTGGAGGTCAGGATCGGATTCTTGGTCCACCAACTGGTACTGGTTCCACGGCGTAACTCTCATGGGTTTCTCCTCAGTTTTCTTGCCCAAAAGCAAAAGGGTTAAACCCTTGCTATACCCTGAAGCTGAAGAAGAGAAAAAACCTCCGCCTTCCACCGCCAATAACATCCGTTCTGCTCATCGGAAAAACACCATAAGAACTTCTCTTGCTCTTCAATCACAAACAACTCAAAGTCAAACCACCTGCAATCAAACAAAGTCAAGTCAACAGGCATATCCACAAATGAAGGAAAATTATCATTCTTTGAGTCCCATGATCCTAACATTCTCATAAAGTCAAGTCAACAAGATGATACCCACAAGAAATTTGATTATAATATTTCACAAAAAGTGATTTAATTATTGCAAAGAATCAATTATTCTTCTGTCGTTATTGGTTTAACTGCATTTAGATGAACAAGAACTGAAACCAAATTAGAATATGAATTGATTGGATAATCGCCCAATTTAAAGCAAAGATTGATAGATCAAGACGCATTAATTGATCTACATGAACGTTTTCAACAACAAATTCAATCGATAATGGAGTTTGTTCTTCAATGGCAACGCAGGGTTACAATCGATTCGATCCCCTTCCTCGATAAGAAAACAGAAAACATCTATAAATTGTCCAAATTGAATCCAAAAGGGACAATGAAACTACGATCTAAAACACAGTATCAGATTCAGTAGAACTAATGAACACAAACCCCCAATTCATAAGCACATTCATTGAGTTGATACAAACCCAAGATCCTACTTCAAGTGTAGAAAACCCCAATGAAATTCGAATAAAGTAAAAAAAAAAAACAACAACAACAACAACCAGAGATTTAGTGCAGCGGAAATAGGACTCACGAATCCAGAAGACTTAAATGAGAAATTTCCGAGAAGCTCCCATGTCTACCCAACCTCGCCGTAGTTAATACTTGATCTTCTCCGGTCGCCGGAAAATATTTAGAAAAACAAAAGAAGGATTTGTAGGGAAATTGGTGTGGCGTCAATGGTGAAATAAAGGTGTCAAATTCAATGGTGGTGGCATAGAATCAATGGATTCTCTTTATTTTATAATAATAATTTTTAGAGTAAATTACACTTTTGTTACTTATAATTATTGACTCACTAGCAATTTTCGTCCCTGTTTTTATTCTAGTTATACGAATATGCAGAAAGTCAACCGATCAAATTGGAAACCGACCGATTTAATTAGAATCGACCGATCATAATTGAATATCTAATTGTAATTCGATTGAATTGAAAATTTCAACATCCAATTTAAATCGTCGGTCCTTGGATGACAGTTTGGAACCGAACAAAACCGATTGATCTGAATGATCCAACATCCAATTAACCATCCAACTATTATCCAATTACCATTCAATTAATTTGTTTTCAATTTTCTTAAATCGGAATTTGTTTTTTGTGTTGGTTTTTGAATTCTTTTTATCTCGTTTATGTTGGTTCTAAAACTTATTTAAAGTGATCAGTCAGTTTGTATCATTGTTGGAAAATTGGATTGAATCAACACATTGGATGAATCTAATCCGGTATGGTCATTCATTGGTTGTCGGATGGATCAAATTTGATCCAATGCAGATCGGATGACTCCTCTCCCGGCCACCACTTGGATGACTCATCTCTTACTTCTCTTTTTCTTCCCACCTCAAACCACACAAAGCTAACAGATCGACCCTTTTCTTATCCCGTTCTATTCTATCGTGAACCTTTTTTACTTCGGGGGCCAAATTGCGAACTTTTTTACTTCAGGGACTAAATTGTGAACTTTTTTTACTTCAGGGACCAAATTGTGAAACCCAATAGATCGATGCCTCTTCTTTATCTAATTCGGTCAGACATAAAGACAATTCAGATCGTTTGTTTTTCTTTTTTTTTCAGAGCCTCTTATCCCTTATTGTCTTCTAAAAAAATAAGTGATATCCTAACCACTTATTTGCCTCTTAATCCTAAAGATTATCCAGAGGGCCGACTTCAACCTAATCTATCGCCTTGCTCAGTCTAATCAATCTATCGCATTGCTCCACGAAATTGGACATCGATCTCTACTCCATCATTTGATCAACTTCACTCTCTCATTAAATCTCCTCACTATCTCAATCGATCGACTTCACTCTCTCAATCAATATGTGCTTCATCAATCGACTAACTTCACCATCTCAATTGATCTTTGTTTCATCAATAAGCTAAAGAACAGTTAAGATCTGGGAGGAGGAGAAATAAGAACCAATGGCATGTTCATCCTCCTCGATACTGCCCTTGTGAGTTGTTCAGATTTCAATCCCGATTTCAGAATAATATGTCTGTTTGACAAAAAATCTTGATGTGGGCTTCTCTGGTTTATAATTAAAACTGGAATGATGAATATATGCGGTAGTGTGAGAGAGAGAGAGAGAGAGAGAAAAGAGGGGAAAAGAGAGAAAGAAAGATAAAATAAATTTTGGGTGTTTGATATGATCCTATATTGTATTATATATATATATATGGGTTGGTTCAAATACTAACCAAAACTATTGTGCAAACTATGTTAACCCGATCTTGATCGTTTATTTTCTCATCAAATGATCCTTATTAAATGAGACTATAAAAATAATCATTTAATTGAGATGCCTATGAACAACGGTTCAGATGGTACTTTTGTAAAAACATCGCATGAACATGGTGAACATTTATATGAACACGGTGAATGTTCATGGACATTACATGGATATGAACACCATGAACACCATGAACATCGGAATTACCTCATGATCAATTAGAGGGATCTTAAAAGATTTGTAACTCCCAAATAATTATTAAGGAGTTACATAAAGGTCAAATTACAAAATGACCCTTGTATTCAATTTATAAGTTATATTTGAACATAAAGTAAAGAAATAATGTGATTGGTTGATGTTGGTTAATAGAGTTAACACAAAAAAATGAGTTAGTATTTGAACCACCCTATATATATATATATATATATATATATATATATATAGACTTGGGATCATGTGAGACCAGCCTGTTTTCGTGAGACCCGTGAGACCAGCATTTTACACTTGAAACTTCACAGCAAAATGCTGTGAAGGTAACTTTTTAAAACCTTCACAGTGTTTTTGCTGTGAAGGTTCGACTTTTTTAAACCTTCACAACGTTTTTGCTGTGAAGTTTACGTGTAAAAATGTGGTCTCACGGGTCTCATGAAAACAGGTTGGTATCACGTGAACGTAACCCTATATATATATATATATATATATGTATGTATATCGTATAAATTGAGGCATGCCATTTTTCTATTATTTTAATTCAGATTTCAGACTTCAGACATTTGTCAGTTTATAAAAACAGTTTTATTGATTAAGATTTCAGATTTCAGCATCACCTCTTATAAATCAGAAGTGAAATCAGACTTCAGACTTCAATACCTTTTGAAAAACAAATGTCACCTAAGTCCCAGTGAATCCCTTCCAACACTTAGAGCCAAAAATGAGTAAGGATAAACTCATTTTGTTTCAATGTGTTGAATAAGGGTATATATATATATATATATATATATATATATATACACATATACATATATATATATATATATTATCTATTTATCCACATATTTATTACTCATTTACCTGAAATTTTAATGGATAAGGTATGAATAAACGGTTTTTCGTTATCCATTATATGTTAACGATTACGAAGTTATATATATATATATATACATATATATAAAGAGAGAGAGAGAGAGAGAGAGAGAGAAAGAAAGAGAGAGTGGATCATGCAAGAAGCTACATAATTTGTGAGAAGTCGAGAAGGAATATGAGCCACATACTCCATTAATTAAAATATAACATAAATAACAAATAATTTTAAAAATTAAGATAATTATCATTTTTAATTGGATAAATATTCAAAAATCTAGTTATATCTTTTTAATTTTTTTTCTATATATACTTTGATAAAAAAAAAGTTTAAAATTTTCATCAAATATCACATGTGATATCTACAATTAATTATAATCTTTTTTACCCATTTTCTCTAATTTTTGGATCCACATTTTGAATCAATTTGATAAACTTCGTTTAACATATGATCTATTATATATCATATACGATCTATATGATCTACTATGTGAATCTTAGTACATATTATATATGATAATATACGTTTGAATATAAGTCACGTATTATCAATGTGATAATATTTACATCACAAAAAAGATCTACAAATATAAATATACATAATCATATCTGATTAACAAAAACATCTAAAATTATCACATATGAATTGATTGTAGATATCACGTGTGATATTTGATGAAAACTGAAAAATTACTTTATCAAAAGTGTATCTAATTTTTTTTATATAAAACTTGATAAAAATTTTTATTAATGAATTAAAACTGAAAAATAAATAAATCTGAAAGATATAACAAGATTTTTAAGAATTTATCCAATTCAAATTGACAACTATCCCAAGTTCTAAAATTATTATTAATATTTTATTTATGTTTATTTTTTAATTAATAGATTGTATGACCCATATTCTTTATCGATTTCTCGTAAATTGATCGTTTTCTCGTTTGAACTTGCCCATATATATATATATATATAAACGGCTAATCAAATGCAACTCTTCTAAATATTAATATTTTATCGAAATAATGAATTTTCATTTATTATGATTAGAATCTTTTTGGAAGATGATTAGAGTACATTAATTATGATTAACGATTTATATTGGGAAACAATCATTATAGTTATGAAATCAGATATTCGTTAGACTAGATGGACAATCAAGATTGGTTTGTAACATTTCCATTGTTTGTATTTGATTGGGAGTTTGGGACTCTCTCTCTCTCTCTCTCTCTCTCTCTCTCTCTATATATATATATATATATACATACATACATATAATTAATGAACTTTAATCATTTTGAATAAATATTCAAATACTAGTAAATGGACATCGACCATTGACCAACATAATGTTATTTCTAATTGAACAAGCTTAACTTGGATGTTGATGATCTCAAGATAAATACTTGTTAAAGTTGAACTTGGTGACTCCACAAGCAAAAGAGTCGAAGAATTGAGCTTGTTGACTATTAAACTATAGACCCCAAAAGGTTGAACTTAATTGTTGGTTATCCATAAGTGACACTTATATAATACTGGATTATGGTTTACTCGTGTTCCGTCACTGCCAATGGTAAATCTGGTCTCCCTCGTCATCTTATGATGTTTATATCCTTCCAAGGATAAATATGACTTGAATATCAATAAAATGTCTTGATTAAAGCTATGTTCTCGGTTTTAATGTTTTATTTTATAACTGTTTGAACTTACTAGTCGTTAAGCCTAACATTTTTCTTAAATAAAATGTATATCAGGATATCATAGCACTGGGGCTCGTAAGGTACGAGGGTGAGTGATGGTTACATTAGGGGCATTTTTGGGATGACACTTTTGGAGATACATAACGTCACATGTTAATAATGTCACTTGGTGTAAGAACATCTGGTAAATACACTGAAAACGAACAAAAATACACCCACAAAGCGTAGGAAACAAGAATAGACGGAAAACAACAAACTTGGCCATCAGGGACACAACCCCACACCAAGAGGAAAGGAGAAATCGAACAAATCAATCAAAAGCAAGGTATGAGCAACCACCATACCAAGTGACAACCAACCAAAAAGGCAAGATTCCTAGGCTATACATAGACATATCGAAAAAAATATGCAAGCTGTAATCGAGGAGCCCATACGACTACAAAGAGCAAACCTGAAGAACACGGTGAACCCTCTACAAGAACGTCAACACTTTATATCCACCAATTTTGGATTTGACATCAAGGAAAGGAACATTCAATCCCTAAACACATATGGTGAAACCGACAAAAAGCCACAACAACGATATTTATCCAGGGACTCCTTAGAGGAATATGATGACGAGATTTGACCAATGTCAATTCATCCAAAATTGTCGATATACTCTTGCCATCGAGTTATTCCATCCCACCAAATCCTGAACCATAGACC